CCCATCCCATCCCGACTTCGGCATCGTCCCAACTCTCGCTCCGTGATCACAACCTCTCCCTGCCAGTTTCCCTTCCTTCCCGTCTCGACCTCTCTCCCCCTCTGCTTCCTTCCTCCGACCTCCCATCCCGACCTTCCCGTCCCGGCCTCTCCTCCCTCCCCTTGCTTCCCCGACCTCATCCCAACCCATCTCCCATCCCGACCTCCCGACTCCCATCCCATCCCGACCCCCTCCTCTCCCGTCCCGATCTCCTCGTCCCGACCTCTCCCTCTCTCCCTTTGCTCTCCCGACCGCGACCTTCCGTCGTGATCCCGACCAATAAATCAAAAAAAAAAAAACGAGAAAAAAAAAAACGATAAAAAAAAAGAAAAATTGATAAACTAACCATCCCGACCTCCCCGTCCCTACCTGTCCCTCTCTCCCTTTGCTCCCCCGACCGCGTCCGACTTCCATCCCATCTTGACCTCGACATTGTCCCAACTCTCCCTCCCTGATCCCGACCTCTCCCTCTTCTGTTCGCGTCTCCCATCCCGACCTCCCATCCCCTTGCTTCCCCGACCATGTCCCAACCCATCTCCCATCCCGACCTCCTGACTCCCTGATCCCGATGTCTCCTCCTTTGCTCCCCTGAGTGTGTCCCAACCCGTCTCCCATCCCGACCTCCCGACTCCCGTCCCATCCCGACCTCGACATCGTCCCAACTCTCCCTCCCTAATCCCGACCTCTCCCTCCTCTCCTGTCCCGATCTCCTCGTCCCGACCTCTCCCTCTCTCCCTTTGCTCTCCCAACCGCGACCTGTCGACCCGATCCCGACCTTTCCCCTCTCGATTCCCGTCCCTCATCCCGACCGCGACCTCGAGCGACAATAAAAACAAAACAAAAAAAAATCGGGTGTCCCAACTCTCCCTCCTCTGTTCGTGTCTCCCATCCCGACCTCCCGGTCCCGAGCTCCCATCCCGACCTCCCTGTCCCGACCTCCCATCCCGGCCTCCCATCCCGACCTCCCCGTCCCGACCTCTCCCTCTCTCCCCTTGCTTCCCCGACCGCGTCCTAAGACGGTTGCCACGGACTACAACGCCCAACCATACAACTCTAAAAAGCAAGGGTAAAAAGGGAATCTCCCTTTACTCTCAAGACATAATCTGGTTAACCCTTATGCATAATTTACAGTAGGTCTCTCAGACACTCAGGGTACTCGTAAATATATGAGGCTTAATTATATAGGACGATCACTTCTCACAGTCACAGTGGGGCTCCTCTCAACCATATATGTATGTAATCGCAGGCAATCACATCCAGAGTCCGAACCACAAACGCACCTGCAATCACATCAAAGATTCATCCAGAAGTCCACGCACTACACGGGGTCAACTTCAACCATTCCTTGCACTCATACCCCTTGCTTTAGCCATACAAACCTCACTTTTGTGCAATTCCCCAAAATAAATACTCAGTACTTTTGTTAAATGGTCATTCAATAAAGTCCGGGTGAAAACATAATGAAACAGTTCAAACCATAGGGCTAAAGCCTTTAGGTTGAGAGACAAGAGTGGACTGGAGTTGAATTGTAAACCGACGAATCGGCAACCGACCTGTTATCGGTGATAACAGAAGATGATCCTCGTAGGATCAAGCTGAAACTAGTCCAGATCCTGAATCAAAATGGTCAAGAGGACCTGTAACACAAGACAGGCCAATCCCCAGGTTAAACCTATAAGTCCATGGAGAATAATCCCCATGTCATGATCCCACTCAAGATCCTTCTGACTGACTAAGCCTGAATCTACCTCTAAGCAGTGCCCAAGGCAAAAGTAGACTAATGGCAGAATCTCCCCTATTCAGGGTGGATCGCCAAAATCGCCACCTATCAAAATGTAATCTATCTCCTTTAAAACTGAGAAAATTTCGGCACCGCTTCCCGTAGGAAAAGTGCCTTTCAAGGTTTATATACGCTCAAATATAAAAACAGAAATAGTCTTTGACTTTCCAAAGTCCAATTTTGTCAACTCTTTGAATCGGCAAAAATTTGGGCAGCACTCCCTTTAGAAAAAAAAACTTTTCAAATTTTTACTAAGTCATATATAAGCTTTAGACAAGTTGAACTTTGACAAGTCAAAATTTGACTAACTCCTTGGATTTGCAAAAATTTCGGCAACGCTTCCCATAGAGAAAGTAGCTTACCAAAATTTATACAAAGCCAAGTACAACAAAAGATCCCAAAAAATGCAAGAATTGATCTAAGTAAAATAAAGTTAGCTCAGAAAATGCAGGAACTGAAAACTAACTCCTATGGCTCTAGCACGTGGTGAGCGACTAAAGCAACTACCTATCAACCTGAAACTCAGACTAAGTAGTACCCTCACTCAGTCACATGCAGGTCAAACCACAAAGGTAAGTACTCTCACCATCCCCAAGTCAACTTAGCAGACAATAGTTCATAATCTTTCAATGCTTTATCCTTTTATACCCAACTTACATAAGGCATAAGGTCAGGACACCCAAACTTATGGAATGAGCCCAACTTACCCAAAATATACACAAACACAGGGCACAACAACTTCTCTCTTCTTTGGGCATATGACTAGGCCATTCTAGTCGCCCTGAACTGTTTAAATAGCCAGATTATATATATATATATATCAGCTTAATCTTCAAAGGGGACGTAGGACTGAGCCATTGATCTTAGAAACAATGCTCAGCCGGCCCAGATTACCTTCACTTATACTTCTGGTTGAACTCTCTTCAAGTTGTAATAGGCTATAGTCAGACCATCCAATCTTATGGAACCCGTGTCTGACCAGCCTGTTTCTAATAACATAGTAATATAATATAACCAAATTATAACCTTGGTTCCAGCATGTGCGAGGCATTTGGGTCAGACTACCTAAACTTATAAAGCAGTCTGATCCTTTGCTAGGTTTGTTCCTCTCTCATCCAGTTTGTGCGAGGCAGCGGGCCGGGCCACCTAAACTTATAGAGCGGCCTGCCTCCTGCCAGAATTATCCCCTCAGAACAAAACAGGAGAAGGGTTGAACCACCCAAACTTATAGAGCGGTTCAGACCTTCTCGTTTAGAACCAAAGAAACTGATAGAACCCCCAAGTAAACAAGGCAACCCAAGGTACCTAAACTTATAGAGCGCCCTGGGTTCCTGAAAACCATCCACAATCAAGCCCTCACAAGTCAGAGCAGTCAGGTCACCTAAAGTTATAGAGCGTCCTGACCCTCCATGCAATTCACAACATCGGATCTCCCAAAACTTATGGGGACTTCCCAGCCTCCAGAGCATTCAGGCTACCCAAACTTATAGAGCGGCCTGATTGCTTCATGCAAACCAAAATAAACAAAGCGCTGGGTTTCCCCAAACTTATAAGGACCTCCCAGCCTTAACGACCCGATCAAATCTCATACAAAACTGCCTTCCTCATCTTGCCCCTTTCCCAGATGCAATTTCTTTCAAAAATATACTTTCAGGCAATCAATAAACTAAAACTGAGATTGCATACACATTCCTTTACTTGCTCTGATTCAGTGTCCTGAAAGTCAAACAAGGGTCAAAGTAGGGATGCATGCCATATACTCAGTCAAAACACAACAGGCGGTACAGGTAGGGGCTATAATCTGGGTTTATAGAGGGAAGCAATAGTTACCTTTCAATTCCCTGCCTCCAGAACTCCTCCTGAGTCCCGGCAGAGCTCCTGCAATCGGTGGGCTGACTCCCCACAGAGTCTTCCTGCGGTCATACGGGTTGCAATCCCGCCTGCCGCCTTCCTCTCAGAACCAGCAGACTAGACTTACAGTAAGAAGGGCAGAGGTAGAAAAGTCTCTCAAATATAAAAGGGGTGCACTCAGACTCGCAGGAGAGGGCCTTCGAATCTTCAGCGCCTGAGGGCCCCGCAATGATGGCCACACGTGCAGCAGCTTGGTCAACTGAAGTTAGACGGTCAGCCGCTGACTCTCTGACGACCTCCCGATTCGCAACGATATCCCTCTACACCAGGCCTTGTCCCTACGCCGGGACCTCCTCGCCGAGTTATGTAAACTATGGGTGAGTTTGCACCCCCGCATGTCCTCCCCAACTAACCCAACTAGCCCGATAGATAGAGTACCAGCCAGCAGGTAAACTGCAGTCTTCACAACCCTGCCCCGGCGACTCCCATCCCCCGCCATCATGCTGCTTCCCCTGTCAACATTGGCAGCGTACCACCCTATTGGTAAGTCCTCCCTTGCCGCTTGCTCTTGCCATCGCGTCCTACAAGGTGGCAGCAGCTTCAAAGAAACGCAACACTCGCTGCTTGGTTTGACCTTCACTCGGTTTCAAAACCCCGTACTTTGGCAAAACTTCTGATTTCGGATCCACGGAGCTCGTTCGAATGAGCAAAGTGCGGGTTACTACGAGCGCAGCGACGAGTCTGAATCCTCAACTAAAGAAAAAGCAAGTATGCTCGCTCTCCCCTTAATCACCTTCCTTACGTCCTTGCCGCCGCTCTTCCTGCCAAATACTTACCCCCTTTCTAACCGAGCACATCCTTACCTCGTACCTATGCTTTCTTGTCGTACGAACCTGGCCCCACACATCGGCCAGATCAGGGCACAGGTTGACTTCATAGCTAGCGTTTGATTCGTCCCCCGTAACCAGCCTAGTTATACTCGCAGGAACCGGCAGCAGCTACTTCCGTCGATAGGATGGGCAGATTCAGAATGCGAAATCGGAATGAATCTTCCGCTAAAACATGGGAGAATACACCATCGCCTTACCGTTCTTCCTAGGCGCAGTCCCGGATAGTCATTTTGGCAAACTATCGTTCCTTCATCAGAGCCGATGGTGCTGTCCAACTGACCCCCTCGCAAAACCCCTGTCTAGAGGCTCCCCTCGTCCGATTTCATTAAGAAACCGGCGAGTTATCCTTTTCCCGCTCAGCCATATTCGTCCCTCCGTGCTACCTCTGCGCACGGCTTCCCTATACTAACTGTCCTTTTACTTACCCTCTCGTCGTTCTGATTACATCACCGAGTTCGCCCTAGAATTAAACCACGAGTTAGCCATCTCCCATACTTGATTCCGTCAGGAATCGAGTGAGGTAAGTGTTTTCCCATCCTAGCTAGCTTTTCTCCCCTGCCATATCTCGTCTCACTAACTTTCCTTAGTAACTTCTACTGCACTAATCTAACACTAAAACTAACCTCACCACACAACTCGCCCTACCTAAATCCCTTAGAATCGCCTCCTCCCGCGTCAAGAACCCTGAAGTATTGCGCGCGCACCCTCTTCCCTGTTGCGCCTCGGCTCACTACCCCGCCATTACTATCCTCGAGTGCACCTGGCGGTTCATCGACCATCTTCCCACTTATCTCCCCCCCCCGTCGCTCGTCTCGCAGCGGCCTGTCATGGCCCGCGCAGCGCCCGATATTTTCAGCCCGCTACCGCCCGCTCGCCTCTTTCGTCCGTCTCCTACCTCCCTAGCGCTGCCACCCTCACCGCCGAAAGCACCCGACCCCGTATTGCGCCCGGGTTCACTCACCCCGCACTTCGCTCCGCCATTCCGACCCCGGAATGCACCCGGCATGAAACTTGGCAGCGCCCATCTGCCTGCACTCACCGGCCGCTCTGGCAGCGCCGCCTTGTCTCCCGCGGCGTCGGCCCTGTCGCCTTAACACTCCCATCTTCACCGCACTTTCCCCTCTTAGCGCACCCTGGCGATATGCGGCCCCCTGCACTAACGCACCCACCGGTCAGCCGAGCCCGACTTCAACTCCCGACTGTCTTTGGGGGAACTTCGGTGGGAACCAGCTATGAAACGGTCCGATTAGTCTTTCGCCCTTATACCCAAGTCCGACGAACGATTTGCACGTCCCTGTCGTTCCCCGCCTCCACAAGGCGCCTCCCCCGCGCACGACGGGGGACAGACGACGCTCCTGCGGAAGAGGTTCTGTCATCCGAGCTCCTCCCCTCCATAGGCCCATCGAAAAAGCTCTGTCCGAATACTACCGGCTAAACCCTAGCCGGTACCACGCACCTGCTGGTGATTGCACTTCCCGCATGTCCCTATGAATACAACCCACCCCCGCGCGACCTCATCGGACCCGGGACGTAAGCCGTACACGTGACCGCGCCGTGGTGGCCATTAAGTCCGGTGCTGGTCCGGGTCAACGACACGCCGGAGCCTAAAGGCAAATAGAATTACGGCGCTAGAAAGAATTATCTAGGTAACGCCACCACCAATCGAACGCCGAGGATGGCAAAACCAAAAAGGGGGTAGCCCTGCCGGGTTCTCCACACTACTCTGATACCCTTGCATCGTCGCCGCTCGATGTCGGTCCCTGGATTTCCATGATGAAAGTCTGGCACTGTAACCACCAATGCTAAGCCCAAGGCTGGGTCTCGCTCTGGCGGTTGCCTAAATAAACGGACACAGCGCGACGAGCCGACCTACCGAAACGCTTTCAGAAGTCACATTGTTGTCGATGCCGTCCTTCGTACGTACGCACAGGTCACAGGCAAGCACATCAATCAGCGAGACATAACCTTTTTACTCCCTGTTTAATCAGAAGAGAAAATCTGGCCGGCGATCACGCCGACTCTTCAGCCATCAACAATAAAGAAGATCATGCACGCCTCAAAAATCCGCGCGCCCATACACTCTTTACCCTAGTCAACCGTCCGGTCAGCCTCGACCACAGACGCAGCTGCGCCTCACGCAGAATACTTACTTTTTAAGCCAAAGCTATTTTCTACCACTTGCAAAAACCAGGGTGGATACCCTTGTAAGGATATTCGCATCAACAGCGGGGCCACCGATTTGAAATCGGGACTGGTCTAGGTCATCAATCTCCAAGATTCACGACCCAGATGAGCCGCAATTTGGAATCGGTAAGAGCGGGGAATTGTTGGTCCCCGTTCCCTCCCCCACACGACCACTCTTCTCCCGAAGTCTATCTTTCCATCCCGACGTCTCCCTCGACCTGTCACCACTTGCCCACGGCAACTCTGACGACCCCCGCCAACGTCAACCATCCCGCGTGAACCCGTTGTAGGCCGCCAGTGGCAGCCATCGCGGTTCCCCGTGAGCGCCAAGGTAAGCGAGTTAGTTGGGGGTTAGGAGCAGTTCACCGCCAGAGTAATGTGAGTTCTTAAGAGAGTATAGTGCCGAAGAGTACATTAAATTGTTGAGAGCATTGAACGGTAGAAATGTAGTATTGTAGTCTATAGTAACTCGTAGAAAATATAGTACTACCAAGTAGGGTAGATGAGGTAGATCCATCGTTATTGTTATTTGCATGTTATTGTACGTAATGAAGACAATCGTCTTTTGTTTTGGGACGTCCTTAGTGGTCCTTGTATGACAATCTATGTCTTTGTGAGTTCGTCCATGTCTCGCATTAAGTCCTTCTTAATGTTAGCTTACGTGTTTGTGACTGGTATTCATTGTTTATATATTTGTTTGCCAGCCGAGGTCGAAACGTTGGAGGGTAGACCAGGCATATGACACGGATGAGAGAAGATACGAAAGAGGGATGCACATGCAGACAGATCAAGCACGCGCAAGCAGGATTTTGTAACCCAGAATACCGAAAAAGTAATCTCATTCACACAATGACATTAACATTTCCAAAGAAAAATGAAACGGAAGGCGAGGAACACATAATGATAAATCATGAAAGGCAAAGACAGATAAACTACAAACCTCAATCATATTCAACCGAAAAGCGTGTCGAATGTAGTTGTACAAAATAGAGAGCAATAAACTAATAGCTCTATATGTCAACGCAAGCGTTGCAAAATTGTCGTGAAACATGGTCAAATAGAGACTTGACATCGTCGCTTAGCAGCACTACTCCTAAGATCATGGTGTTATAGGTGGACATATCATGCAAGCACATACTGTGAATCTGTAGTGGTCACCATACAACCTTAATATCGGCACAATGAATTCCAGCATTACCTCTCGGATGTCTCTCATGAACAATTGGGATATTGGATGAGGGAACTCGAACTCTCCTCTGACCATTGCCATCCTTGGCTGAAGTAATCCAAGTCGGATGTCTGTACAGGCTGCAAAATGCTCAAAGGGAACCGTGACGAAGTTCAACTTCACCTTGAAATCAGCAAACTCCGTACCTTAGACGTATTCCCCCATTTGCGCAAGCTCTTGTCAGGTGAGTGAGAAGGCACTCGATGCTGGTAGGCCGACTGTTCTGGCCCATGTAACACCCTTGCCGGGTGGGTACCCCATAGCGCTGCGGGATAGAGTCGTTAAATGGCATACCGTCATGGCGTACGAGGATAAGATGGCTTCTCTCCCACCCCAACATAGTTGACGCGTCTTGCAAAGCTTCTATTCTCGCCAGAATGTTGCAGGTCGCCGCTGCTAGTGCACTCTGTCTTCGCAGGTGCTGTCACAACAAATGCATTTGTGTTGTTTTGTATAACGCGGCGACTAGCCTTTATATCCTGAAAATTTGTGAAAATATAGCGAACAATTTTTCGTAAACATGCATTAAGCTTGTTATATGGCGATGTTTTTTCCATCAACGACTAATTGGTACATTGTACGCAGTGGTGAATTCAAAGCAAAAGAAGTGTGTCGAGGGAAACTTGTAGAGTAAAAAAGACGGCATTGCTAAAACACAAGGTACCGGGGCGACAAGAAGCTCCGTGCGACAGCGTGGACAAAGGAAAAATTACCTGAACGACTCAAGGATGGGACTGGTGGTGGGCGGGATAAAAGATGAATTGGTGGTTGGCCGCAAGCCTCCGGCGAAGCAAGTCCCGAAAAATTGTCGAGTGAGCCTATACGCTTGGGCAAAATAGAGGGAGAACTGATGACATGGGTATAGAGTGTTTGAGGGCGAATGAACATGAACCTGTTCACATTTCAACACGTTACTGTAACACGCGTTCAGGTAGCGGGCTATGTGGGGATTGCAACGTACGAAAAATCAAGGCGGATAAAAATGTGTCTGTGCGTACTTATACTTGATTTGCATTCTGAAGTTCTGACCAAATTAAACCACCAATACTTGGCCCAACTATCAGATGAATTTGGGCGCTCTTGTTGTAGCCCGTACGTTTCCTAAAATTGTGGCGCGTTAACAGGCACGACTCTAGGAAGTCCTGGTGGTTTAAGTATGCCTTAACAAATCCGCAAATGAAGCTTCAAACACCCTACTTTGGAAAATAAGCCTTTCATTGCCACTGCATGATGTGACAGACATATCAGTAGACAAATTACTTTCATGACAATTCCCAATTTGTACCATACCATAGCCCGCTACCTGAACGCGTGTTACAGTAACGTGTTGAAATGTGAACAGGTTTACACATCGGGGTTAAAAAAATGAATTTGACGCCTCACTGCGCGCCATGCTTTGTGGAAAATGGAATAGGTGCATACTCCTGATATGATTTTAGTAAAATGCACAGTAGAAGACTACAGGTAAATAAATGTGAGCAAAGCAGGAAGAATAGGGCCTTCGGGCTTTTGTGTCGTGAGATAGGCGTATGGATGAAACACAGTTTTTTCAATTTTTTTAATATTCTTGTTTGGGAGAAACACAATATTATAATTTTACAGTTCATATTGTGGTAAGAAAAAAACACAAGGAATTATAATGTAATGAACCCAGTCTGGAAGATACTCGTCAAGTGTCGAAGTGCAAGATAACTCAGCGCTGAATAATGTCACCGATAATCAAGAAATGTGATCCATGATACAATGTCTCATAGCCAGTTGAAGAACAGAGCAGAGGGGGGAATAGACAATTTAGAGGGTGGAAGAGTATGTATCCATCAACGACCACAGAGATAGTAGCCCAACATTTCCCTCTCCTTCTCCGGGCTTTCCCGTGCCTCCACGTCAGCAACATTGTCTAAAACCGAGCCTGACAGGGCCGACTCATAAAATCAATCGAGAAGGACTCACCTGGTTCGCTGGGAATCGGTAATGGTTTCATGAGACCAAGTGGATTTTCGTGTGCAGGTTTGTTTCTCTGACACACCAGACAAGTACGAACATACGTTAGTACGTCTTCCATCAATCCCTTCCACTCAAAGCGTTCTCTAACCTCAGCGTAGGTTTTCTTGAAACCAAAATGTCCTTCAGTGTCGTGACATTCCCCAATCAACAAACTTTTAATTTCTTTCAGATGAGGAATACACAATCTTTGTTCAGTTTGGTCTATCAAGAAAAGCAAACCATCGGTTATTCTATAGTTGGGAAGTAAAGTTGTGTCTTTCGCAAGGACATCCATGATAGGTTTCCAGCTAGCGTCAATAGCATATCCTTGACAAATTTTATCTTTTAAATAATTCCCAACATCCAAATAAGAAACAATAGCACCAAAGAAATCACATCGTCTGGACAATGCATTTGCAACCACATTAGACTTACCTTTGATAGTTTTCAACTCAAAATCAAAAGTATCAATGAATGCAGACCATCGTACTAACTTATCAAAGAGTCTAGGTTGTGTCTTTATCCACTTTAGTGTCGAGTGGTCTGAGTACAAAGTGAAGTGCCTCCCTAACAAGTAGTGCTTCCATGTGTCCAGCGCTTAGACTAAGGCATAGCGTTCCCTTTCATATGTGGAGTTGGCAACCTTTTTCTGATGGTAATCATGCAGACATAAACTCAATTGGTTTATAACTACTGTCGTCGTTTTGCTGAAGGACTGCGCCAATTCCATACTGACTTGCATCAGTAGTAACAATGAAGGGAAGTGATGGGTCAACAATTTTCAAAATAGGATAGTGAGTCAAATCATACTTTAACTTCTTAAAAGAAGACTCACAGTCCTTGTCCCACAACCAGATAGTTCCTTTCTTCAAAAATCTTCTCATTGGTGCGGTGATCAAGAACTTGCCAAACCAAAGAAAGATCGTAGTTCAGTTACAGACTTAGGTCGTGGCCAATCTCGAATTGCTGATATTTTTTTTTTCTTCTGGTCTGAGGCCTTCTTCGTTCACTATATGTCCTAAGTATAAGACTTCAGACTTAGCGAACTCAAACTTCTTTGGATTTATCTTGAAGTTGCCCTCTCGCAACTTCTCTAGTACTAGACGAAGTTGTTTCTCGTGGTTCTCTGATGTTTTACCATACACAAGAATATCATCAAGATATGTCAATCCGAAAGGCATTACCATGAACTCGTAATGGCCATACCTTGTTCGAAATGCAGTCTTATGTTGATCCATAGGTTCCACCTCGATCTGATGGTACCCAGACTTTAGATCAATCTTACTGAAATACTTACAACCCTGCAGTTGATCAAGTAGGTCGTCAATGTGAGGAAGCGGTTCGGCGTTCTTGACGGTGACAACATTCAACCCTCGATAGTGCAAAGCCGCAGTTCACCTTCCTTTTTGGGCACAAATAAGACAAGTGCACCATAGGGAGATGAGCTAGGGCGAATCCATCCCTTGTCAATAAGGTCCTGCAATTGTTGCTTCAGATCCTCAAGTTTCCTGAGACACATTCGGTAGATAGGGCCCTTGGGAATCTTACTATCCGGAATGATCTCAATGATGTGTTTAATAGCACGTTCCGTGATTCCAGAAGGTTCGGTCTCCAAATCCTTAAACTTAGATAAAAGACTTTCGATAGTTGGAGGGCAGGAAAATAAAACTCGCCGGAGACTGTGATCGTACTCTTGTCCGCTACTATAGACGTGATAGGTCGAGACAAGTCTTTTACCTTCATTCCGAGATGCAACTTGCGAATTGCTTTCTCGGATATGTAGGGTCTCGTCGATCTGGGGTCCAACAACGCACCTACTCGTGTTCGTGCAATTTCAACATTTGCAATTAGACTTCGCTTTACGAGCCCATGAGCTACGTAAGGCTAGCAATTCATTACCTAGCTCATCAAGGGAATCATCCAGAGAGACAAAACATAAGACAATGTCAGGGCAGTCTGGATGATGGGCTAAGGAAGAATCATCCTCTGCCATATGAAAAGAAGGGTAGGAAGGGTTCGTAGGCGCCTTACCTGTCTGTTCGTCCTTACCCTTTACCTCAGTAGGAGGAGATGCTACTCCTATAGAGTGCTCGCTTTTGGGTTCCAGATCATAGGGCAATATGCGATTACATGTCCCGGAGTGCCGCACTTAAGACATTGCGCATTGTCCATGCGCCCCTGCCAAGTCTCGCGAGTCATTCCCATCTTCAACCAAGGCTTCCTGCCAAGGTGCCATGGAAACGGTCGTGGTTTCTTCCCTTTTGCATTCTTGGTGGCCCTCCCTTCGTGGCCCCAACAGCAGTGACTTCCCCCTTCCCGGAGTACTTTTGTTATCCCTATCTTCTATCGACCACTTTTCCATTGTGTCATCATCGAAGACAACAAGGGTGTGGTCCTGGCGCTTTTGGCGCCAGAGAATTCGTTTCCCATCGTAAGTCCTTCCTCCTCCTCCTCCTCCTCCTCCTCCTCCTCTTCCAGACTTAACTACGGTTGCATAGGAGTTTTTAACTTGTGAAGTCATTTGCTCCCTTTGCAGAGCAATGTCGCGAAATTGCCTATAGTTATATTTACGTGACTTTGCTTYGACACCAGATATCCCCGGATGGGCTCACGCTTGGCTGTTTTGCAGGTTCAATCCTGGAACCTGCAGCAGTCGATCAACTTCGCGGGACAAAGCCTCGACCGACGTCCAATGCTTTTGGTCAACCGACGTTAATAGGTCAAACGCCTTATTGGTCGTCGTCTTATCGAGAAAACRGTCCTTGATCTTGGCCAAGAACTGTTTCAAAGTCAACGTTTTTGCCRACTCTCCAATCTCTTCAAAACCCGCGGCGTTGGGCTCAGCCAACACCCATTGTTTGGCCTCACCTCCCATACAAGAGGTGGTAAACGCAACTTGGGACTCCGGTTCGACCGAAGCGGTGCTCACATACGTTTGGATTTCAACAATCCAAAGCAACAGACTCTCATCTTTCTTATTGCTAAACGTGAAAGGCAACTTCATTTTTACTTTCTCTTTCTTCTTTGGCTTCTCCGGTTCYGCACTTGTCTTACCCGGAGTTGTCGAAGAAGGAGACTTGGGAGAAGGAGACGAATGAGAAGAGTTAGACGGAGAGGATGGTGGACTCGGTGGTCCATTCCCATTGGTCGGCGTCTCAATTSTTGGACCAACCRACTTCATGGCATCTCCCATTATCTTGTTTACTTCTTTCTCGTCTTCTTTTCCTTCTTGTTTATCTTCTTCCTTACCCTCTATTTGATTCTTTCCTTTCACAATATTTGCGATGGTTCGTAATCCTACAGCAATMTCATCTAGCTGAGTTTGCTGTCTATCAATTTTCTCCTCCARAAAGGTAAGGTAAGTCATAACATCGGACAACATTTGAGTCATGTTTGCCTTCTCTCCAGTTTCTGTTCCAATCACCTGTCTAATTTCTTTAACTTTGTCCTCTTCTTTATTCCTGTTCTCTTCTTCTGGCCAGTTCTTCTTTCTTCCTTTCTTCCGCGGCCAGTGTTTCTTTCAACTGTTGTATGTTTGCATCAATCGTAGCTTCGCTTACTTTTGTCTTAGTCTCGCCTTTACGAGTCAATTCCATTAGTTATTCCAGTTGTTTCAAGGCAAACTAGTCCAACGCCTGTCGACACTGGGCAACCAGTTTGGAGACTTCGGTCCCGTCTGCCACAACTTCCACARCCGTGATAGATTTCTTCAGACGRTCTTCRGCCGTCTTCAAATCAAATCTATCACGGATGTGYTGTTCAGCATCCAGTCCGGATAGATGTATTTCGGTCAAMAGCAGGTTCCATAAAGCCAACAGTTCTTATTTCTTATTCTCAGCTTGCATCCGAGTCTTAGGCTCAGATGGTCCTTCGCCCACGGAGAGCGTGATCGGAATATGAAACAAGAATGTGGTCACAAACCTCGTCAGAATAGACTTTTGCAAACATTTCCAAAAGTAAGACATTTCCGGAGGACAGAAACAAGAAAATTTGTCGGCCAGGTTGATCTACCGCAAAATAAATAAAAGAGAATAATTTAACGGTCACCCRAACCAAACACTATCTGAACAGAAAGATTTAATAACAAGGAACATAAACTTTTACTAATTCTGATTGCTGTTCTATTTTCAATGTGATGACGTTCTATTCTATTTCAGGTACCRCGACTCAGCCYAGCATGATCATCAACACACACAARTACACAGGCACACAACACAGCACAAGACGACAGTCCGCCAACAACACAACAATAGTTAGTGTTCTTCCCCTGCTGCTGCTTCTTCTTCGGTCCTGTGTGATCAGCACCCAATCTGGCGTATGGCACCATAGGCACGTCAGTCTTCCAGCCGTGCCGCTTCAGTCATCARAATGCAACTCTTACTTGGGGCACAAACGTGCCTGCCACGTGTCACCCCTGGCATGCCAACTCAGCAACTCAAAGAGTATGCCACGTCAGCATGTCCAATCACAATCATCAATGGGGTGCACGTCAGCAATGTGCGTCGATGTCGTCGTYGAGTAAGTCACGTTTCTGYCTGCCACATGTATCCCCTGGTGTGCCAACACAGCAACGCTTGAGTCTGCCACATCARCACTATAATACAGTCAACATCATTGGTGGAATACACGTCAGGAGCGATACCAGCGCGTCGTACAATGCCATGTCAGCCAGGTAATGGAGTGCCACGTCAGACAATACCACATCAGACAATGCCACGTCAACCGCATAGTAGTCGAGTGGTGAGTCAGCAATGCCACGTCAACACTCCTCCCCAACCATTGGCCACGTCAGCAATTTATCCCGATCGCAGATGCGATCGATCGGGATCTGCGCTATCCTTGCTGGATTTCCCCCTCTCGGGATACCAATGCCACGTTAGCACCTGACGAGCACGCACAATTCCAGTCTCATCCACGTCARCTCCTCGGTTRMAGGCGTCACCACTTCTTCGTCGTCGTTCTGTACGGGTCGTCGTCGTCAGTCGTATCATCGGAAGTATAGCTCCGATACCAATTTGCAATGAACCAAGATCGTGAARACGCTTGTCAACAATGCCAGCCCACATAAGTATCAACCTGCTGATGAATGTAAATAATCATAATCGTGCCCAGATAGAATGAGATGGTGAAACATACACAGACGAAAAAGAGACAGGGGAGAATAGACTTAAGAGGGGAGAAGTAAACAATGCCCACTCCTGCTTCAGGCTCCCTCCTCAATCGCCACCTCAATAATCAATAGTCCGAACACAAATCTGAAGTTTTGTCTCAATGTGCCACGTGGCACGTCAACTGTCATTATCAGCGAGCCGGAGCAATGTCGACATCAAAAGACCAGGTGCTTATCTACAATCGCCCCACACTCTTGATCTCCTTCCGAGTGACGATRAATCAAAACAGCCATATTAGACACGTAGCCTGCCACGTCAGCAAGAGTACATGTGGAAGCAGCCACGTCAACAATACTACATGTGGCAGCAGCCTCGTCAGCGGCGGTGTGTGGCAGCTGCCACGTCAGCATGCCCAGAAGACAATTGCCAGCCAGCCACCATGCCGAGCCAGCAGCCCGTCGCCGTAGTCGCTCAAGTGCCAGCATCCCAGCCAGGCACCCGTGTCTCGTACTAGTCAACGCGTGAAGTCTGCATTGACGCAAGACAGAATGAATGTCCGAGTCAGGAAGTCAGTGATTACGTAGCGTTGACGCAGGAGTTTGGACCCCGGATGCTGCATCCCTCAACCGTCCAAATCTCAATGCAAATATCAGCCCAGATTGACCTGAAACTGAATTCCTTCTCGCTTCAATGCTGTCTGGGTACCTGCGAACAACAAGTGAGTGTATCCGACCATGGGCCTGGGCGTGGTACCTTTCACAGTTGACTTAGACTTTTGACTTCCCTAGGCAGTGAGTAATCACATTGCCTGGCGCAGTCCGAGTTTGGCCTGCGTCGTCTAGGCTCCGTTTCGAGGGCCCAGACTGCTGCAGAACACGGGTTACTACACTCTGCACACGTGGACGCAAAAACCATGTCATTGTAGTGATTGTGACAAAGACGATGGTGGCTACAGCCGAGTGTCACAGTGTTTGTGGCTGTGCAAAGGAGAAAGTTGCAAAGTGTTGGTACATTGTCTTGCTGCAGCACGGGGCAAGAGGAATGATCTTCATCATAAAACAGATTGTGCACGGTTTGTTGTGGCAAGAAAACAACATCATTTTGTAAGAAATCAGTGACATCAATCATGGCATGGACCATGGTCCCGTTGTCCCACAACTCCCAGTGGTGAGAGGCATGGACAATGGCCATGTTGACACATGCATAAACCAGCGTAGAAGGATTATCTCAAAGAACGTGGAACAAGAGGTCTATGGGCATGGGGGCAGCCGCCCGGGTGTGGCCAACCTTAGGCGGGTCGTAACTATACCCACTGCACGGGAAAGGGGTACAANCGTAACTATACCCACTGCACGGGAAAGGGGTACAACCCGTGCCCTTGCGGTGACGGCCATCACAATCACATCATRCACAAAAGGAAAAARAGTACATAACAGTTGTACACAACGAATAGACAAAACATATTGTAAATGTATGGGATGTACAATATAATATATAGTCACATAACTATGAACTAAAAGAGCGCATTTCGCAAAACAAACGGCAAAAATAWAAAATTAACAAAACAAGACAACCATGAAGCGCACACTRAAACCATTCATTTTCCTCATTCTTCTTTTAACTCCCCCTTCACCGTGCCTCTCACGTACAAGGCTCGCCATGTTGATGAAGTCCAGCGCGAGCTGCCCCCATCCCCGTGTGCCATAACAGCCCACTTGTACGCTGTGAGAAAAGAGGCAGAGTGAAGGGGGAGGGGATAAACACAGGGAGGAAAGATGGAGAGCAGACAAACAAAGAACGATAAAGGGAAAGTAAGGGAAAGTATGGAGTGTGGAGTGAAGATGAAGGCAAAAGAGGATAAGAAAAGGCTCAAGAATGAGTCTGTCCTTCACGACAAAGAGGACATACATTGTAAGGATGACGTGGATGAACACATGGAAGACCAAACTGAGCATTCTCAGTGCAACAATTGCCACGACGGGTGGCATTGAGCATGCCCATCATACAYCCCCAACAAATGGCATGTCGATTGCAGGCCAAAATGAAAGAAGAACGGCCGCCACAAAAGAGCATGCATCCAGTATAGCGCCCATGGCCGCAAAATGGACATATAGTGTCCGGATGCGGAGGGTGCCTGCAGTCAGGAACAGTGGGACAGTCCTCTGCACACATGGATGCAGAAACCATGTCATTGTAGTGACCRTACAGAGACGATGGCAGCTACAGCCGAGTGTAAYRGTGTATGTGGCTGTGCACAGGAGAAGGTCGCAGAGTGTTGGTACATTGTCTTGCTGCAGCACGGGGCCAGAGGAATGATCTTTAACATACAAGAGATTGTGCACGGTTTGTTGTGGCAAGAAAACAGCATCATTTTGTAAGAAATCAGTGACATCAATCATGGCGTGGACCATGGTCCCGCTGTCCCACAACTCCCAATGGTCAGAGGCATGTACAATGGCCATGTTGACACRTGCATAAACCAGCGTAGAAGGATTATCTCAAAGAACATGGAACAAGAGGTGAGTGGGCATGGGGGCAGCCRCCCGGGTGTGGCCAACCTTAGGCGGTCCGTAACTATACCCACTGCACGGGAAAGGGTTACAACCCGTGCCCTTGCGGTGACAGCCATCACAATCACATCATGCAAGGAAGGAAAAAGAGTACATAACAGCTGTACACAACGAATAGACAAAACAGAGTGTACATGTAAGGGATGTACAGTACGTATATAAATATATATATATCGTCACAAACAGAACTGCCCGGTAAACCGTAG